CAAGAAGCTGTTCATCTATGATTAATTAATATTTCTGGCACTTAAAAAAAGTAATATTCAGTTGAAGGATAAATAAATTTTGAGAAATCAGAACTTTTACCTGCTGGACATAGGCCAATTGTACAGCTATGGGAGACAATTCAATTTCTATCTCATCATCGGGCGAGTTATCTTCCATCAGGATCTCTTGACCAATTCTGATCCAAATACATGAATAAACATGAGTATATGCCACTTCAGGGACAATATCCCATGTTACAAGTTTTGGGTTTAATAGGTTATAAATTATTGAAGTTAAGACCACTAACTGATAAGCAAAACAACAATAAAATCAAAGAAAAATTTAATTTAAATAATCAACTATGAAATTCAGATTGTGCTTCATTTACTGTGCCTAATAAAATAAGCCACTGAATTTGGTGCACAACTCTAGCAGATAGCTTCATGCATTGCAGTTGCACAAGGCCCTCGAAAGGGACTCATTAAACATATTGTCAATGTAGTCTTTGCATATCTAGATACAGGGGAAATCAGTTTTTGTCCCGCAATTTGGCTAAACCACCACATGCTTCTTATTTTATATTCCTTGTAATATAGAAAGAGCACAGCATTCACTGTGGTCACACAATTCTAATATGTTTATTTAATGCCATCTCAAATCATACTCAAGAAGTGCAGTAGATAAAATTACACACCACATATTAAAAGAATGAAGATGGTTATTCTATAATGTTACATTTTACTGATGAAACTGTTGAGGTTAATTTGCTCAATGTCATGATTTCCACAATCAAAATAGAATATCCATTGAATTGAGTATGATTGTATGTGTGATAGTATCTACTATATCAGGAATATCAATGAACCCATTGGTAGCTGTAAAGAGCTAATTCAACTCAAAAGCTTAAGCTGTTAGGTGAGACTATATTAATGGTTTTATATGTCTCAACACGCCCCTTCTCACTAGAGCCCACTAGGCTTGAAGGGTGGACAATGCACAGGCCCACCTACCTGTACGAAGAAAGAAATTCCACTAGAAAGAAAATGACGGACGATGAGGATCAAACTCAGTACACCGAGACTCTGATACTATGTAAAGAACCAATTCAACCCAAAAACTTAAGCTGTTGAGTGAGACTATATTAATAGTTTTATATGTCTCAACAATAGCAAACGGTTATCCATTAAGCATTAAGCGGGAAAAATCATACTTCACTTTAAAAGTGGAAAAATTATACCCTTTCTTTTGCAAGAACGGACTAAGAGGGTGAGCTATCGAGCTAATCTTCATACTTAAATACCGTTAGTACATAGTTAGATTTTTTTCTGAAACAATAAGAGTTGGTCCGCATCTGGGTACTTCTTCCTTTCAACTAAAGAACAAGCAGTATTGTAAGCCAATTCAAAGCTACTAGTTGCTTTAACCCGAAGCGAATCCAGCATTCCTTGAACTTCAGATGACCTCCTGGCCATAACCAGGGCAGCGACAGTATTTATTTCCAAGCTATATATCTTGGATTTTTGGAGCTTCTGGTGGATATCGAAGCAAGCATCCATTTTCCCAAGACGATACAAAATCTGAGACTCCAAAAGCATACTTCCATCACTTCTCTCTTGTCTTTTCAAAGACTCCAAAGCTTCATCCAACTTGTTTTGTTTGTATAAGCAGTATGCCTATTTAGAAACAACAAAGTAAAAAAGAAAAATCAATGGTAAGCATTTACATGTTCCATTAGATCATGTACGAAGCAATTGCATGATGAACTCTAATAAAGTTCACTGTGAAATATGTAATTGTAAATGCTCAAGAGCATGAAACTTTAAAAACAATGGGGTCTGCATAGTTTTCTTTTAAAAACAATGTAGCCTGTATGTGGACTTGGACTTATAGAAAATAATATAAACAAATTAAACTGACACGATGACAAATTGATGCAATTAATACAACCAACTTAAGTTGCCCAAGGAAATGGAAAACATGTACACCCAACGAAAACATACACAAAAAATACCTAAAATTCTATCTGCCTTTTTCTTGAGTTTGAAGTTCAGTTATTTGTAATCTCAATCATCTAACAATCCAAACAACACACCCAGGTTGGAAAAAGTGGTTCATAAATTAAAGTCCAATGTATAGCAGCGGAAAACTTCCAAGTTCATATACAAGTCAAAAATTGAAAGTTAGGACTACGGAGATTTGATAATAACTTAATAAGTTTTGAATCTTTGATCCTGAGGTATGTAGCCTACAACTGAAATGGCACCTCCTTTCCCTCTAAAAACTATGTGGATGAGGAATCTCAGGTTCAAAAGCTAGAAGATGCATCATGCAAATCAAAAGTAATAGCCTGAAGTCTGCTAATGGTATAGCATGTTTTACAATAAGGTAGTGGGTATTCACACAAAATATGTCTGTTTTGATTACATATATAATGCAGGTTCTATAGCTACAACTATAAGGAGCCTCTCTTATTTTTAAATTTTTAACGTAGAGGTTAGTTATAAGCGCAAGGTTGAAGTTAAAAAAAAAAGATCTTTAAAAAAAAAAAGCTAAAATTTATTTGTTAATTATATAAAAAATTTAGTTTAAAAGCACATATTTCAAAAGATTATCTCTCTATATCTTTATAGCTCTTCATTTAAAAAAAAGCACACAATTCAAGAAAAGTAAATAAGAGCTTAAAAAAAAGCTCCTCTTAGGAACTTTTAGCTTTTAGCTTTTTTCTTCATTATAAAAAAAAAGAGTTTTTCATTATACGAACTTTTCTCAAAATCTATTTGACTTAACTTATGCTTATAAGTAGTTTCTAATTTAAAAAGAAGAGGATTCAAACAGACACAAAATATAATACCACGTTAAAACACCACTATTCTAGCTATTGATGCCAACTTAAGTTTAAGTACAAAAAAATTGTCTGTATATTCTAGGTCAGATGGTAGCAGAATATACTAGGACAAACTACAAGTTGAACAAAATGAATAGAAATTAGAGTCTTAATACTCAATTAGACCATAAACACTAAATAAAGCAATGATATGTCGTTAAAGATAGCACTTACTTTGGTCGATACATTGAGAGAAAAATTAAAAAGGGAAATACTCTAAAACTGGAAAGAATAAAGATCGAATAAATATAATATGAAAAAAATATGGGTCATCTTAGAGGATATAAAGTTGTGTTATTTTAAGTGAAAGAAAAAGATAAATAATAAGAGAAAAGAGTGAACAAAAAAAAATTTAATGTGTGAATCTCACCTCTTTATAAAAATGAAATGATACAATCCCACAACTATATTATTTAAAAAGATAAATATTTTTTCCATAAAAAAAAATTTCAACAAAGTAAAGCATTGCCATTTAACAGTAATTTCGAAAATTTTACAGTCCGTAATCTAACAGACCCAAACCTGTTTTCCTTTGCTCAAGCATGAGACCTCAATGACTTGTACTATCTTACTCATCCCTTGAGTACATCGTAGTTAAAATTTCAATTTCAATTTTTGTTTTTATGATTTTATAATTTTTTTAATCAAAACGATTTCATTAAAATTTTAAACGCTTTTACATTTTTTAATTTTTTATAAAATTTTTTACGATAAAATTTAATATTTTATGATTTTTTATTGTCATTTCAATTTTAAGTAAAATCTCAATTTTAACTACCATGCATAGATGGGATACGTCAATGCAACTAATATGAAACATTTATAAAAGAGAAAAATTATATTTACAATGTGGCGCAGAAGTAGAACGTGACGTGAAGGGATGTGCATGGGTCGAGTCGAACCGAACTGAACCGAATTGATTTAAATGGTTCGGTTCGATTGGAAACGGTTCAGTTTGGAACCGGTTCGGATCAACCCTATTTTGAAAAGAAAAAAAAATTAAAAATTTAAAAAATAAAATTATAAAAATCAATTTTATTTGGTTTGAAAACAGTTCAGTTTGGTTCGGAAACAGTTCGATTCAGTTTAAAATGATTCAGTTTTTAAACTGATTCTAAAATCCAATTCATAAATTGATTTTTAAAAATCAATTATTTTAAAAACAATTTGATTCATGATTTAATTTAGTTTTTTAATTATTTTACACGGCTAAGAAGGCGATCCATTGTTATTTTAACCCAAGACACGACTGAAGTGACAAAATAACTTATAGAAGCCCCTCCAATTTGGGTTGTCCCTTTAGGCCCACAAATTGGATTTCCCTCGTTTTTATTTAATTTTTAGTACATTATTATTATTCTTTTAAGTAGGAAGAAAAAGAGCGGGATTTTAAGAGATTTAATCAGTTTTTTATATGGGAAGAAAGTTATTCATTTTAAAAAAAATATAGATACAGAAAATTTGAATTTTAAATTAAAAAAAAGCACTCACTTTCTCTCTCCCATTATTTTTGTTTTTCTGTGTCTATCTCTCCTAAAATAATATAACTTATGTCATTTAAAATGACAAACACCAAATCCCTTATATATATATATATATAGGGTAAGGATCATTTTACACCAGTGTAAGTTACACTCTTAATCTTAGCCGTTAATCCCACTTTTATCTAAGGGCTCAAATTTTTTAGTAATGTGAGTCATTGGATACAAGTGGATCAATGGTCAAGATTGAGTGTAAGACTTCTAATTCTTACACCGGTGTAAGAATATCCTGTCCCATATATATATATATATATATATATATATATATATATATATATATATATATATATATATATTTATTTTTATTTTTTTTTATTTTGAAGTCCACTCACTATCTATTACCAACATGGCTTTGACTAGTTATCAGTCATGGCAACATTGCATTGAATATTCAATGTTGTATTTGAACATTTGAAATTTCAATTTGAAAAAAGCAAAACGGCACCCGTGCCAAAGTAGTGTGGCCCTTCCTTTCCCTTTTGTTGTTTTTATAGTGTGAGACTGTGAGTTCAAGAGCGCAATCGCAATCTCAAATTTCTCAATTCGCCCCTTTGAAGTTTCAAACACTTTCAAAATGGAAAATGATTCTGAATCTGAGAGAATCAAAGGAATAGGAATTCCCATTCACGGAGGGAAGTATGTACGTTACAACATTTTGGGCAACCATTTCGAGGTCTACGCTAAGTACGCTCCTCCTCTTCAACCCGTTGGACGCGGCGCATACGGCATCGTTTGGTTACTACATACTATTATTCTTTTTCAGCTCTATTTCGATTATTATTTTCCCCAATTTTTTGTTAAAATCGATTTTCATCTGTTGTTTGTTGCAGCTGTGCAACGAATTCGGAGACCAAAGAAGGGGTTGCGATTAAGAAGATTGGGAATGCCTTTGGCAATAGGATTGATGCTAAAAGGACACTTCGAGAAATCAAACTTCTTTGTCACATGGAACATGATAACGTGCGCATTTTTTTTTTTTATGATTTTGTTCATTTTTATTATTTTAGCTTTCTATTTCCTGTGTGTTTGATAAAGTTCTATATGAATTTTGTGAAGATAATTGAAATTAAGGACATAATTCGGCCACCAGATAGGGAAAATTTCGATGATGTGTACATTGTGTACGAATTGATGGATACTGATCTGCATCAGATTATACAATCTAACCAGGTTCTCACGAATGAGCACTGCCAGGTAAGTGGTTGCGTGCTTTTGCTTTATTGCTAAGTAGTGCTTATTATTTTGGGATTGCGGTATTTGCCTTAATTTGTAAAACTAGAGGAAAATGAAGTGTGTGAGTTTGTATTGTGAGAAAATGAATGCAACAAAATGAGAGTTGGTGAGAGTGAAAATGATGTGTTGTGTGTGTGTGAATGTGGATAGTGAAGTTTAATGTGTGAAGTGATTTGGTGATTGTGTTGTGTGTGCGTGAAAGAAAGAAAAGAAAAGAAAAAAAGAGTGTGTGTGATGTGGAATTTGGTGGCTGCTAGTAATGTGCTGCAGCATGCATGGAAGAAAGATCAAGTCGAGAAGAATCTATATAAATAGAGGTGAGTTTGCGTCGTTTTGGTATGAGAAGAGTAATGATACGAGGGTGTTGTGACTAGTGAGAGGATTTTTGAAGGATGTAAACCATCAGAGAGTTTTGGTAAAGATGTCATTATAATGGTGAGATTGTTGTAGGATAGAGGACACTCAGAAAGATGTCAATATAATGGTGAGATAGTTGTAGGATAGAGGACATTGAGAATTCTTAGAGAGATTATCCTGTAATATCATATTGACAAAGTATTTCAATGCTGAAGCAGTTCTTCATTAGCTAAACAGAAAGAAAGAATGAAGACAAGGATTGCGAGAAAAAATTATTTCTCTTTTATGAATTTTATTTAACAAAAAACAACCAAATAAAAATAGGGTTTTCCAAGCCTTAAATAGGCAAAACAAAATGAAATGAAAATAAAATCAAATAGAATCAAAAGGATCATGCGCAATCAAAGGAGATAACGCACAATCAATGCACACTCAAACATAATCAAAGAAATAACAAAAAGTTAAATAACTAACAATTATTGTAAAAGCTAAAAACTGTTGATGCCCATGGCAAAGCAACAAGTCTTGCTCAGAAGCCCATTTCGAGTTACCTATCCAAATTTGAGCCCAATCTAAGTTGGCCAGCTTGGGTGCATCATATTTGTTCTCTTCTCGTTCATGGAATGTGAGCATATTGGTCAAACTACGATAAATGTTGTGTGCTGATTTATGCTTGGTTTATTGTTATTTTATCTGTGTTGTTATGACTCCACACAATTCTCATCTACTGAACGTACTGGAGTTTGTGAGGTGGGAAAAGGGTCTTGTGTGTAGGATAAACCAACACTTATTATATAAAGCAATATATATGACAGAGTACTTTTGAGTGATGAAGTTGAGTGCAGTTCATCCCCCCACCCACCTAATTTTTTTGGCTAAATTTTATGTTGAAGTTTGGCAGTTTGTTCAATAATTGTTAGACAACGTTGTTTGAAGGTATGGTGTAAAGCGTCAATTCAACCCAAAAACTTAAATTATTAGGTGAATGTCACATTAATGGTTTTATATTATATTTATCTAACACGTCTCCTTAGACAAGGTACGTTGAGCTTAAAGTGTGGACAATGCACGTGATAGAATTTGTGACCACTTGGGCATAGAAGCTTTGATATTAGGTAAAGAATCAATTCAATACAAAAACCTAAGCTGTTAGGTGAAGACCCCATTAATGATTTTATATTATATTTCTAACATATGGGGAAAGAACATGATATTTTAACATGTTTCTTCTCATTCATAAATGCAACCTTACTACCTGAGTGATATCAATACATAATTTATTCAGAATGCTACTGTGAAATTTGAAACTGTTAAAATGGTCATGTAGTGTTGCATCTGTTTATAATGCAATATATTGTTGTCTGAGGACCTTACATTATTATTCTGTATCAGATATTTCCTCTGGAAACTGATATTCAACCATTAGCGTACAAATTCAAATTTATTCATTATATCTTGAGCTTATAAATTTGATTTGTAATGGGGAAATTGTAATTGAATAAAGCTTAAGCAGCATGTTAAATGTCATTGCAGTATTTTCTATATCAACTCTTGCGAGGATTGAAGTACGTACACTCTGCAAATGTTTTGCACCGAGATCTAAAACCGAGCAATTTACTTCTCAATGCAAACTGTGATCTTAAAATATGTGACTTTGGGCTTGCCAGAACGACCTCTGAGACAGACGTTATGACAGAATATGTTGTGACTCGTTGGTACAGAGCCCCTGAATTGCTACTAAATTGTTCAGAATATACTGCAGCTATTGACATATGGTCGGTTGGTTGCATTTTAATGGAGATAATTAGAAGGGAGCCTTTATTTCCCGGTAAAGATTATGTTCAGCAGTTGGCGCTTATAACTGAGGTATTTGTCCTTTTTTTGCAATACTGTCTGTTTCTCGAATTGGCAGAAAAATTTAGTATTCTAGGATCGTTGTCTTCTGAGATCTCTTTTAATTAGTATTTGTAGTAAGTGTAAGCTTCCAAATGATGAAATCTTGACGAACTAAGTCCTCACTATTGTCTCTCAAAATAGTTACTAGGTTCACCAAATGACTCAGATTTTGGATTCATCAGAAGTGATAATGCAAAGAAATATGTTAAGCAGCTCCCTCATGTAGAAAAGCAGCCCTTTGCACAGAGGTTTCCTGACATGTCCCTGTTGGCAATTGATCTTGCTGAGAAAATGTTGGTTTTTGATCCCTCCAAACGCATAACTGGTATGTCTCTTTATGTTTAATATTCCTCTGTTATCGTTCTCATTCATTTCCTTGCAAGTTTTAATTTTATTTTATGGTTGCATAGTGGAGGAAGCGCTGAATCACCCATATTTGTCAAGTCTTCATGAGATCAATGAGGAGCCCACATGCCAAACTCCTTTCGTCTTTGATTTTGAACAGACAATTCTGAACGAAGAAGATATAAAGGAGCTCATATGGAGGGAGTCTCTGAAATTCAGCCAAGGTCAGATGCTGGAATAGCCTTGGCAAAATGGTCTTTTTTCTTTTCATTAGATTCTATGGAATTTCATAATACAGGTTTGGAGTTGGGTTTCAAAGTGGTTTGGCTCTACAAAATATGTTATATAAAGATTTTATAGAGGTTTGGAGTTCCAAGAGAAAGAGGAGCATGTGATTCTGTAATCTGCGGTCAGAGTGATCAGGGAGATAGGTTCTCCCAGCCCCGTTGTCCTGAGAGGGCAAGATTTTTTCTTTTCCTGTTTTTATTTGGGGATTATAGTACCCGTCGATAGTATTAGTGATTGTTATACATAAAAGAGGGACATATGCCTCCAAGCCTGTCTTTGGCTTCGCATTTGTATAAATCCAAATATAGTAGTAATACATTAGTTACTAAAGAAAATCCACAACATAGTTTTTTTTTGGGTGTTTTTGGGTGCTTATAACAGTGGTTTCGTTCTCGTTATTTGTCTTTCACTGGATTCAATTGATATACTTCTGTTTTAATTTAGTTTCGTGAAAAAATCAACCCAGTACTTGTCTCACTTAAAATTTGGAGACACTTTTGTGATATGTTCTAAACTTTATATTTTTTTTAGTTGCAGTGAGGGCGGCATGTTTGGTGTGATATAAGGACGAAGCAATAACCTATTAGTTAAACAGAAAGAAGAACAAATAGATAAAATATTATTTCTCTTTTCTTAATTTTCTTAATTTTATTTAACCAAAAACAATATGTATAATTTTAAAGGATGTAAAGTTGTGTCATTTTAAGTGAGATAAAGAGATAAATAAAGCAAGATAGAGAGTGAACAAAAAAATATAAAAGTATAGGTCCCACTTTTTTATGAGGCTGAAATGACACAAGTTATATCATTTAAAAGAACAAACACTTTTTCGATATATAAGCAACATTTGCCGTAGAAAAACACAAGAAGCTCGCAGCTTCTTGCATTGTGGAACTATAGGAGGAGTTTGCAGTTGTCACGGTCAGTGATGAATTAATCAAATTATAATGATGATTGGATTATAGATTTTGGGTGTTACAATCATATCAATAGAGATATGAAGAAGTTGAAAGACATGAATGAGTATAAATAGGGGAAAGGTGTTACTATAGCAATTGTTTCCTTGTTAACAGTTATGCAAGTATACGCGACAACAAGTAATATAGAACTTTTTTGTGAGTCCCAGTTATCGTTCCCGTAAGGATCTTTGCGTTCTAACTTGGAATAAATTGGTAATTGCTAAATAGAACTAAAAAAAAAAAAAATCAAATTAAATGCTACTACTATTCTAAACTAGTACGCTGAAAATGTTTTTGTGGAGATTTACTCTTTTTAAAACAGTGATTTTAGTTGATGAAAAGATCTTTACTTACTGCCTAGAAAAATAACTTAACTAAAAGACTTGTAAAATAAATTTTTTAATGATTTTCTTTTAAGTTTTAAAACAGAAAAATAATTTCAGATTTGAACAAAAATAACAAGTGACAAAAATGGGGTTTAAAACAGAGTTTGGAAGTAAGTTGGGTGTCAATTTCCCCTTCCCTCATTTGTCATTAGGATGCTTTAACAGAAAACAAAAATTGCTTCCAGCTTAACGAAAATACTAAAGTAATTGTTGTTTCCCAACAACAGTTTTCTTTCACTGACAACAGTTTGCATATCCCTATGTCACTGTTGTTTTAGGACCTTGAAATACCATTTTCACAAGTTACATGGGGTAACTTCATCCCCGGAGCCATACCCTTTGAGAGAAATTTTCTCTCAACTTTCCATGTGCTCACAATGGGGTCTAGTGTGAGTTATTTCTCAATAATCTCACACCACTAAGAGCTACGTATGTGTGATCATCACATAAAAAAAACTCAGCAGTAAAATTACACAGTAAACAAAGTGGAATTAACTATATAAACATCAAAACAACAATAAGGTTCTTCGAGCCTTAATTAGGCAAAAATAAAATAACAAAAAAAAGTAAATAACTATAATCATGTGCAATCAAAGGAGATAGCGCACAATCAACACACACTCAAACATAATCTAAAATAATAATAAAAAATAACTAGCAATTATTAAAATCCCTAAATAAATAAATAAATTATGGAAAAGCCTAATTCAACCGAGTCAGCTTGGGTGCATTATGATGTATAAGGGCTAATAGTATAAGTTTATACTATATGATATGACATTTTTAATTATTTGGTATGACCATTGTATAGTATAAGTTTATACATCAGAATTTTTTAATACATTAAAATAATATATAACTTAATCAGGTCAAAAGAAATAGGATTAGGCTTGATAACATCAAGCTCAACAACAATTTTTCATACCTACTCTAGTTATTTTTCTCCAATACCGTTAGATTACAATCTTAATTGATCTTTATCATTTCTCTCTCCTCTTGAGATTGCAATCTAATAGTGTTAAGAAGAAGTATGTAAAGTATGCATGAAAAAATGTACACATAATATTTTATTCTATTGTACTAATGCCTATGTAAAATAAATAACAAGAATATTATAAATAAAATAATTTTTATTATGAGAGAGGTTCTATTTACAATATGTTTTTCTTACAATTATTTTTATACTTATTAGATCAAAATTACATTAAGTGAGAATTTTGACTCTCACTTAATGTAATTTTGTAAATATTGATTTGATTTTGATTCAACAATCATAAATAAAAGTGGTAGTAAGAGAAAAGAAGTAGTAAATATAGCCTCTTTCTTTTATTATTCTATTTGAGATTTGTTTTGAAATATGTATTTTTTTTTTCAATTTTTGAAAGAAAAAAGAATAGATGACTGATGATACTGGACAAAACAAATATAAAGTGACCTTAGTGTAAATAAGTATCTTTAACTTCTGATTTTGTCTCAATTAGATTTTAAATATAATAGATTATTCTGTAACTTGGGATTAACTTACTAACAAAGAATAAATCATGATTGTTCATCCTTATCATACCAAAACTATTTAATCATATTTTTAATTAAAAAATTATATTTTTTTTTTAATTTTCATAAATTAAAAAATAAAAAATAAAAAACACAAAACACAAAACTGAGAACTGCCTTCTTTTTCTTCTCCTTGGCCAACAAAAATAATAAATATTTGGATTTGTAAAAACAAATATGAATAAAATATTTAAATTTAGTAGAGATGAACGATTAGGATTTATTCATTGTTAGTAAGTTAATCCAAGTTACCAAGAGAATCTATTATAACAATAGTTAAGGTTTATAAATTAGTTGAGATAAAAACAAAACTGGCAGTTTTCAAATTTAGAATTTGCAACAAACATTACCATTTTCAAGAAAGTAGTAACCTTGGCATGAACTTGAATGGTTTCTGCAAGTTGTTGACACTGCAAGAAGCTGTGGACAAAGGAATGCGCCTAGCAGGTTCCTGCACTTTCCATGGGCCAAGCTCTGATTCTTATACGAAAATGGTCTAAAAATGGTATGTGGAATCTAAAGGTGATTGTGATTGTCAATTTGTCATGAAAGGAATATCAATTTACGTGTCTCACATTATCTATCTATCTATTTATTTACTTTATAGTTTATACATTAAAACCTACCATTCATTTGAATAAAAAATGTTCTCAGTTGTATAAAAAAAATGTTCTCAATTAATTGGTTACACTGTACTAATGTAGAAGCCTTAGTACAGTGTGTACCAAGGCATTTGAAAATAAGTCATTATTTGAAAATTCTGTTTGTAGTCCTTAGTTAATAAGCCATTTGAAAATTCTATTAACATTTTTAACTAAGGTTAAGACATGTCTTTCTCTTGAGTTAAATATAAAAAATAAATAAATTAGAAATTACAACATAACACAATAGATAAAATTGATGAAGTCTTCCACACACAGGGCAGAGCTATGTATATTCTGAGGGTGTTACCCCAAAAATTTAATGTTGTTTATTTTATATGTTTTTATTTATAATAATTCCTGAATTTAGGCCCTATATCAATGAGTTCTTTTTTTTATACACAATATATCAATGAGTTGTTTTTCTTTGCCCAACCCAATTAAAGTGATTTTTTTTTTTTTTTGTAATCCAATTAAAGTGATTTAAGTCTGCCTTCTCATTGGATCTAAGATATAATTTGCAGCGCATAAAATTTTTTATATGACTTATGTTTAGTTTATGTTTAGTTTATTTTTAATTTATTTTTCCTTATAAATTTATAATACAGACAAAAAAATTAGGTTGATAACTTTTTTCAATAAGTAAAAAATATTCTGTATTATTTTTTATTGTATGTAGATATATATAGAGGATGTATTATATTTTTCATGTTGTAGAAAATAAAATTATTTTTTATACATACATAAATGTGTGTGAGCCTTATGTTTTCTTTTTTTCTCTCTTTTTTCTCACATGGACTTCACACATTTTTATATGTGTGTAAGAGATACATTTGTCTCTGATAATATGAGAATCATTAAACCCATATATAGAAAAGTAAAAATGTAATTATATATAAATTTAACTTTAATATTTCACCCTTTTTATTTTAAATCCATTTTTATTTGACATAGTTAAAATCATAATTAGGTTTTTTTTTTTGAGATATATACATTACTTTCGCAATTTTAACCTAAGTAAAATAAGAATTTTGTATACTAAAAATAATATGTATAAAAAAAGTCTTGAAGAAAGTTATATAAATTAATATAACTTCACGTATATTTATGATGAGAATATAGTTTCTTATGTTATATAAGATAATTTTATCTATGTAACATGAGAAACTATATTTTCATTTAAGATATACAATTTTTTTTACTAGACTATGCTAGGATAGGCCTCACTATGAAAGTAGCACTTAAATGATATCTATAGAATATGGAAATAAGAAAAGGGAAAAGGATTATATTTTCGGCTGTGTGTATGAAAAAGATTTTGTTGGTGGAGACAAGATTTATTTCGATGATCTTTACACCTCAAAATGATTAATTTTTAGTTGTTGGCCGGAGGATATCTTGAGGAAACTCAAAAAAATAAAAAATAAAAAGGAAGGAGGAAGAAGAAAAAAAAATATTGTATCATAGGGTGTTAAAAATCTTTATTAAAATGGAGAAGTAAAAGTTCCATAAAGTGAGATAGGCTAATAGATTGTGCAAGGCTAACTTAATATAATGTATGTTGCTCATAAAAAAAATTTCAACTTGCATTAACGTAGTTAATTAAAATTTTACTACATTCGCATATAACTTTTTTTTGTTTTTGTTTTGAAAACACGCATATACCTTTTAAAATATATAAAAAAATGAGATAAATAATTTATTGATCAGAAAAGGCAATCTAATTAAGGGAAAATGCAATCTAATTAAGGGGAAAATCTTTAATATATTACGGTAATTTTTAACTGAAGTCGTACCCGGTGTTGGGTACGATGGTAGCACTC